AGTAGAGAAATGATGTAATAAATCATGTATTGGACATAGCCAATCAAAAGCATTTTAAAAGCTACATTTTGGCGGCAGTTCGAGAATTACAAGTAGTAGAGATTTTGTTTAAACCCATTTATAGTTAATCCAAAATTATTATATTGTTTATTTAGACTTACCCTTTTTATACAGTAAAATTAGTTTGTAGCTATTGTTGCAGTTCTTTGTTTCTGAGCTAACGGTGATAATGGATTTAATAATGATACTTCTGCACTGGTAACGTTAACTACGGGAGCTTCTTTGACTCTTTCAACTCACATCAAAATTTTTCAATTTTGCTTCACTTTCGGTTAAAGAAGGTTCAATGAGTGAAAGTATCATGGATGCGTTATTAAAAACGTCATACAAATTTCAATAACGATGGGATCAGATTTTTTTTTAATGGGTCAATAACGATGTACTGAATTGCCGTAACTATTGCCGTAACATAATAAAGCTACAGCAAAAATGCCGTAACTTATTATAATTATTACATATCAGTCACACGATTTGTGATCAACATTCATATGACCAGCTTTTTTTACATAGTAAATTGCAACGATAGGCTCTTTACAAATACAATTTTCAGGGGTTTCCTAAAAGGAAATCATATTTGCGTACAAGGTACAGCTGTTTATTTTCGGACTATAGAAATTTCGTACTGTATGTTACTTCAGTATGTACTGTACTGTACTCACATTTAACGCAGGTACAGTACACTTTTTTCTTTATATAGAGGTAAAGTGTACTGTATCGTATTAAATAGAAAATAGTACAGTACACCACTTTAAAAATTTTGTTCAATGGGACTAGAGGTGGGTTTCATGCATGCGCATGATTTGGAATTATGTGCATTTTATCCCATCTAAATTTTATATAGTAAGAAAAAAAAAAATTCAAAAAAATCGGGTAAAAAATAAGCGAAAGACGAAAAAAAAAAAAAAAAAAACTAGTGTAAGGCAGGTCTACTTGATGTTTTAACTAAATTCAAGAAGAACCATCTTAAGAAAAAAAGGAAAAAACCCCCCAAAAAAAAAGAGTAAAAATTAAGAAAAAATAATAATTAGCTTAGAAAAAAAAAGAAAAAAAAACTTAAAAAAAAAAAAAAAAAAGCCCTCTTTCCTATTTTTCTTCTGCATCAATTTTTCTTCACCTTAAATTTTCCAACGTCCCATTTTTTCTGACGTCCCGTTTTTTTTTGACATTCCATTTTTTTCAATATAACAAGAATTTAATTATGGATAAAACTAATTTATATTGCTGATTCTTTGCCAATTCTTTACATAAATAAAATTTATTATATTTGCAAGTATAATTCTATTGTAAATTTACAGAATATATAAATTTTAATTATTGTTTGTAAGTCTTTGAAGTCTTTCTCTCAATAAAACTTCCCTCTCTAATTCATTATTTTTATCTCTTTGAATGTTAAGTTTTTCATGCTCAATTCTTAAAATTTCTTTATGATCATCAATTGACATAATTGACATATCGGAAGGCTCACGTAAAATTGCCATATTATTTTTAACAAGTCAAGTCTTTTTAGAAGACTTTTGACTAGTTGAATCTTTATTCATACGTTTTTTTTTTTTTTTAAGAAAAAAAATTGTAACAAATTAATTATTTATAAATTTTTAATTATAGTATATAATACATATGTTTTTTTTTAGCTGCCTCTGCAGTTCTTTGCAAAGATGATTTATCCCAATAAGAATCGGATATATTTGTTCTTTCATACGTATGAGCAGAACACTATTGAAATTGATCAAATTCACTTGCTCTATTTTTAAATACAAATAATAAATAAATTATATAATTATAAAATTAAATTTAATATTAACTTACTTTTGAATAGCTGCTAATAAAGATAATCTATAACCATTTCAGTTAATATTAGCATGAGCCAATTCTCCTGTATTTGTCGTAAATAGTGTTTTGGTCCAAATTGTTGGTAACATTTTAGTAAATGCTAGTGACAAACTTGCAAGCACCCAAGATTGTCTTTTATCTTGAACCCAGTCTATAAAAAAAAAAAAATTAAAAAATTTATAAAATAATACAATAATTTAAATAAAATTACTTATAATATATATAATTATATATTTGCTATACCTGGTTCTTCGCTTTGTTGAAGAAATTCAAGAGTACTCATTACCTCATATGCCATTTTATTTTCTATTAATGAGTACATTTTTTTTTTATTTCTTTATTTATACCTCTTTTGTTTTGAATATTTCTATATAATTAAAATAAATATAAATTATATTTGTTATACTTTAAAATACCAGTATAAACAAGATTAAATCAAGAATTTTAAAAATCTAAACTAATTACACTAATAATTTATTAGCTAGTTAAAAATAATAATCCTACCTTTTAAAATGAACAGTCATAATTTATAAATTCTTTGCAAATGTTCTGATGCAGTAAATATTGGAAATTTTTCTGCCAAATATTGACCCAAACCTAAATATTTATTTTAAATAGTTTTAATATATATATAAAAATATATATTATAATAAAATTTATATAACTTAACCCAATGCTTGACCCTGATGCTCATCTGCCAAAATACATCCAATACCATATCCATGAATATGTTGAAACTCAATTGGATGTTTACAATCTTGTTTCATGCACATAAAAAGTTCCTCAAATAATTTTTTATATGTATTTGCCATTTGAAGAATCATGAAAGCACGTGCAAATACTAAAGCTATCAAATAAAAAATTTTATATATTTAAGTATTATTATTTATTAGTATTATTATTATTATTATTATTATTATTATTATTATTATTATATTATTTACTTTTTTGATATTTTTCTACATAAGCACATATTTCTCATTCATTAATCGGCCCATGCACACGTTTAAAACTCATATCTATCTCGAAATATAAAGAATTAGCCAAATATTTTATTTGACTTTTATAATCAAACAATACTAAATATTGTCCATTATCAAAAAAGCCTAAAAATAAAATAAAAATTTTTATTATAAATTTAATTAAATATTATTATTTAAATATTTTTTACTTACGAACAGATCTAATAAAAGGGTCCATTTCATTTTTATGCTTTTGTTTTAAAAGCATATATGCGACGCCCATAATATCTTGACCATATGGATGCTCAGCACGACGTTTTGTTGCAATCATATAGTTAATTTTTGATTGATTGTTCAACGATGGATATAATTCTGGAAGTAGAACACCTTTGAGAAACCTTTGCATTGATGTGCCTAATAAAATTAATAAAATTTAAAAAATTACTAAAATCTATTAATAATAAAATTAAATAATAAATACATACGAGTAATTAATTTTCTGGCAGTTAAATCTAAAATATTTTCATCAGCAATTATATTTCTTAGATTATTTTGAATTGCTGTTGGTATTTTAGATGGCAGAGGTGGTGGATGGTTATGACATTCTTCAAGATTTTTAGGCACATAATGCCAAAACTTAATAGGGCATTCTAGCTTAATCCTTGTGCCACTTCATTATTTTCAGTAATATGAAAATAAGCTATATAAATATAAAATAAATAAATTAAGTAATAAATATTTAAAAATAATATATTAATAAAACTCCTTATGGCATTTTTTTGCCCGTGCACTAAAAGGATGTACTAGATAACAATGCCGAACTGAATTTGAAATCTAAATATTAAATAAATTTTTTTTTTTTTTTTTTTGGTATTAAGGTGAGGCCTTGCTCATATCTTTATTGATTAATTTATATAAGTAATTAC